ATTTTGCCTCTTTAAAAGGTTAGAATACTTATACAATGATTTAATTTTTGCTTTTGCTTTGAATATGTGGTGTAATTTAAATATTTAGCAAATTATTTTCAAAATAGCATGATTGCATGCTTGGAAGTAATAAAATGTCTTAAGTATTCCATGGTCGGAATACTTTTGCAAGGCATGGTATATAAAAAACAGTACCCTTTGTCTACTAGTATCTGTTAAAAACATTTAATTTGCTGTTAGTTGTATTGAACAATGTACAAAGTGTACTGTGGATGGATAGTTCTTTAGTGATATTTCCATTTTTGCTGCATACTACAGTTCCATGTTAATTGATAAATGGACATGGTGGGGTTGCTTTTCTACAAGTGAGTTTATAGCCTTTATGATTTTTTTAATATTTAATGAATTACATAGTTGGGGATAAGACATTACCCCTGGTGTTTGGAATTTCATTTAGGTCACCTAAACTGTATTTTCTGCAACTGCGTAGATTGCTTGTGGAGTTCCACATAGTTAAAATTTAAAATTATACTGTATGCTTGACTTGAAGTATAGCGGAACCTCAGCTATTGCATGAAACTACTGTTAAAAAATGGGGGAGATGTCTTAAATTAGAATGCTAAACCTTTTTTAGAATCAATTTTCTGCCAGTACAACCAGAAGACCTTCATTGTATATCACTGATAATTATTTCAGCAATTTAGTTGAGCAGGCTTAATTTAGCAGATTAATCCCATGATAGCCAAGTTTTAATTTAACTTACACCCATTGCCTACATTTAGGTTTCTGTAGCCTTTGCACTGTGTAAACCTTCTTTAAAACATACTATCCTTAAATAAGCCTTATATTCAAGGCTGTTCAGCTAATTAGGTTCCCAACTTTTATGTATTTTATTGCTAATCTTTTAAATGATTTGCAGTTCATTATACCTAATCGTTTGAAGTAAATTAATATTCTACAATTAAATATAACTTTCTCAGATTTTTTTCCTTCATTTGAAACGTGTTTTAACTATTTAAGGTAACTTTCATAAGTTGAACTTAAAAATTGCATGTTGTAAAGGAGAAGATCATGTATCGTGTTTTTGCATCTGAAGCAGTGGTACTCTACTCTATGAGTATGTTACACAACTCCATGCGTCATATCCAGTACATTTACGGGGGTCACATTCACAGAACATTGTTACAAGCACTGCCAGAGTGGGGGATGGGGAGGAGTAGTGGGGGACTGACTTGCACAGGGGCTGCTAAAAATAACCAGCCATAGCAGCCTAGTAATGAGGGATCCCTGGAATTGCTGTCCTTGACTTGCACTGGGTAAGTCTTGGCATGCAAATGGACTCTGTTTGCCAGTCATGTACCCTGTGTTTCCTTTATTTAAACAAAAGGAGGAGAGGAATTACCTTTATTTTTGTATTTATTGTTTATTTTTCAGTGTAACAACCTACTGATTACTTTGAAGCTGAAAATGATTGCTTAGTACCAGTTACTGAATGTTATCTAAGCACACTTCAGTAACTGACATTTCAATGTATTTTAGTACATAAGCTTATAGAGTAGCTTTCTTAGTTCCATATGATCTAATTTACATTTGGAGATTTGAGCCAATCTTTTAGAATGTTTCTCACTACGTGCTGGGGATTTTTCAGTCAAAATCTGATTTTTTGTTGCATTTAGCTGTCTTTTTGTATATTAAAAACACAGCTAAATGTGTACTCCAAGACTGAAATGATCAACAGCAATGTGGGGGAAAAAAAGTCCAATAAATATGTACATTGGTCAAAAGAGAATTATGCAAAATAGTTTAGTAGCAGGCTTTTAGGATTTCGATTCCCAGTTTTCTGTTTGAAAAGGAAGTAAATTTGTGTGGGCCACAGTAAATGTGTAAAGGAAGAAGGGGATTGTGATAGCTGATTTTTTTGTTTGCAAAATTATGATTTCATGCTGTTCTTTTTTGGCCTATGCTTTTTGAAACAAGCAGGTTAAAGCTGTAGTTGATTTGGCCTTCTGTCTGTTGATATTGTATTTTAAAATAACCTAAGCAGCTAAATTAGTTTAGGTGTTCCCTCAACAGGGTCAGGAAAGGGTTAAAACAACATTTTCTTTCCCCTTGCACTACCCTCCCATGCCAGCTGTGTGCTCCGAGATCTGATCACAATGATTTTCCACTGTTGAGACAAGTGACCTGTTCCGCAACCTGAAACTGTCACTGCATAGCAAATGTTTGCACTTCCTTCATCTTCCATTTGGGCACTTGCATCAAAATGCAATATATGTGAGGAAGAGAACAGTTTGATAACTGTTTTTAACTGTCAAATACAGTAGAATTAGGTCAGAACCAGAATTTATACAGAGATGGAATTTTTCTTTTTTACCAACTGCTCTGGGAATCCTTAATTGCTGCTGTCAGTCATATGACAAATCGTTGTACTTTTAGAACACTTTGTTACATAACTCGCATGCATTTGGGTTTCTGAAAAATATTTTAGTTATTGCTTGATTTAGGACAGATTTTATGGTTTTTGTTCCAAATTCTGTCTGTATATTTAGTTCTGAAATGATTCCTTCTTTTAATACAGTCCAGTGAAAGTCTATGAGAAGTACTTTCGGAAAATGTTTTATGAGCTATAGAATATATAATTACCAGTAACAATGTCTTTTTTCCTTTATGTGCTTTAAAGGACTCAATTTAAGGTAATTTGAGCTGAGCATGCTAGGAAACAGTGGAAGAACAATTCTTGACCTTCATCTGAAAAATCAGCAGAATGGCCTAAAATGTGAATTTACCTTTGAGACCGTTTCATTTCCTTCTCGCAAGCTCTCAGAAGTCAATAGAATTACACCTTGTTTTGTAAAATAGTAATTTTAAAATTGTTATTTGTAATTTTGTAAACTGCGTTAAGTGATTGCATAGGTATTTATAACTAATCATCTGAGCAACTTAGATCTGTCTTGTCAGCAATAAACTGTACATAGTACACAATTCATTGTAACTAAAGAGTGTGTTGTAAAATTAACACTGTCAAGGTTAATTGTAATGGAAGTGCACCTGAATTACAAATTTCAGAAGAAACAAATCTGTCTTTGATCTGTATGGAGGTTTTGGTTTTGTCTTGGAATTTTTCTTGATGTAGAGATTAGAAGTTGATTTTTCTTACCTGTACAATTAAGAGAGCCTATTTTCCAACTATAATGCAATCACATTTTACAAAGTGTGCTAAGAAATACACAAAATAAGTTTAGCTTATGATAAAACTTCTATGCACTGAATATAAAGAGTGGAAATGTATGCAGCAGTGCAACTAAAAGTTAGCTTGCTGTGAGTAAGGCTACAGTCTTAGACTAGGAAATGTATTATGCTAGTAAAGCTTTGATCCTGGAGAGATATCAAATAACCTTCAGTCTTTCTGTGCTACTTGAAAAAACAAGATCATGAAAACAATTATGATTCCTTACCATTACTGAAGAATTTAATAGCTATTTCTAGAGAATGCAATATCAGTGTTCCCCCCTCCCATCACCTTAACATGGTACATTCCTTGGTAGTGATTCCAACAAATTAATCAAATAGATTTTTCCTTATACAGAATGGCAACTGTTTTGCTTTATGGTGAAGATTTATTTTCGAAGTTTAAACAAGGCATTGCTTAGTGGCTGTAGGCTTTTGATTATTTTTTACAGTAAAATCCTTTCTGTACTCTTTGTGAGTTATGTTTGAGAGCAGGAAGCTCAGGAGAGGCTGTGGATCTTTTCTGAAGCTTCGGATTGCCTAATTAGATTAAGCGAGAGGCTTTCCTGAGATAATCATTTAGTGAGCCTTTTCCTGTAATGAAGCAGGCAGTGGTGAGAGTGTGCGTTGAAGGTCAAAGTGTTTTTAAAGAAGGAATATCAGCATGAGCTTAACTCGGAAAGTGACTATCCATGTTTTTTTTTTCCACTAATTGTCAGTAAAACTGTTAAGTACTATGAATGTTTTTGTGGAAGAATGTAAGGGGTTCTATATTTCTTGACCCTGGCTATTCTTTTTTGGTTGCTATGGGGGAAGGAAGATGTGTTACGTAAGTAATTTAGTAATTGTCACAAATAGTTTTTTTTACATGTATAGTAGCTGTTGAATTTCTTGTCTTGTGTAATGTATATGTGTTCTTTGCCTCAAATATTAACCTGTTTACACTTTTCTGAAGTATTTTTGATTGGTTTTCATTGCTGTAAGATTTGGAAACATCTGTTCTCTTTTTATTTAGCCACCAAATCAAGTCCTGCTTCTGTTTTTATTAGAATTAAAAATGTTCCGTTAGTTATAGCTGTGCCTTTTCTGATGTGTACCATTTTATAATGGTATGGAGTACGAATTATTGCATTTTATTTTTTTGGTAGTTATATTGTTATATAATTTAATAAATCTTTGCAATTTCTCTTAAAAAAGCACAAGTCATGTGAATCATGGGTGTGATTTGCAATTAGGCAAAGAATATTTTGAAATATTGGCTTAGTGGTTTGAGGTGATTTTAATTCATATCTTGTATGATATGTATGCAGTGATATGCTGGTTCCCACGGTGATCCTCATATTAGTCCTGATGGCTTTCCTTCGAAAGTCTAGTATTTCATATTGAACATTTGCCAGTGTCTAGTAGTATGTATATCCAAGCTATTTTCAGAACAGACCAATAGCTTGTTTGGACCCCTACATTGTATTTTCACCTGATTTTTACTTATGATGATGTTTCTTTGGAAAAGACTGGCTTTTTAGTTGTAGCAGATATCATACAGCAAGAAGAGATGTATTATTCCATTTTAAAATGTAGTCTTAGCTCATTTTTAAGATGTAATTTTGCATTTCCATTTATCCTATTCACTCAAAAAATTGTGGGTTTAGTAATGGTATGTATTTTACTGACAAGGTTTATTTTAGTCTTTATTTTAATCTTTCCCACTTTGATGTGCACACAGATGCTAATCTTAATACCAGTTAATTAAGTACTTTTTTTTCTCTTCTCAGGTCCTTGCAAAGTTCATCCTTACGAACTGAGATACCCATCACCATGGAAAAATAGCCATGACAGTCTGAAGAAAATGACTTTTAATTTAACATCATGCATCCTGGAATCTGATTTCATACATCTTTGAAGGATTTGATCAGGTGTATGGAAAGGATCTGGTTTGATCACTAAGGATTTCTTTCTTCACGGAGGAAGCACTTTTCTGTCCTAGTTGCAGCTGCATATAGTACTGGAGCCATGGCGAATAATTCAGTGGCATACAGTGGTGTGAAGAACTCAGTGGCTGAAGCCAACTGTGAAGGAGAGTTTGGATGCACAGTTAAAGATTTACGAGTTCTTATGGAACTGCGTGGAGCCGAAGGATTACATAAGATACAGGATTGTTATGGAGATGTTCCAGGACTTTGTGCAAGATTGAAAACATCACCAATTGAAGGTAACTGTTTTTTTGTAATTAAATTAGAGCCTTATTGTTGTTTTGTCATATGTATTTGACAATATTTCATATTTAGCAAAACATATCGGAAAAGCATTCAAAGTGAAAAGTGTGACCATAACCTTTGAGGTTTTGAAAACATCCTTAAATTGTTTACTGAAACAAAACAATTGCAAATGTGGATTTCTTAATCTTTATGGATATTATTAAATGCCAATCTCTTCCCTTCGTAATAACTGGAAGATGATTTGAAATTGACATTGGATCTCATCCAGTGCTAGTGATTCGAAAGTAAATTGATTTCATATAGCAGCCAATGGTTTCACACACGCTCTTTGGATTTTAGGAAGTCATCGGGCAGTTAACCAAATTGAAGTGTTTTTTGTTTTATTATTTGTAGCTTAAATTAAATGTAGTAATTTAATCTTTTCTTTAGATGTCCTTTCACAAAACCTTTTAAATATGATTGACACTGGATTAAGCAAAGGCAAAAACTTGTTTGTAAATGTACAATCATTTTAGTTTTTCTGCAAGTACACTCTCTCAGTGCTTGTGTTTTGGTAAATTAATCTGAGGTTCAGTTTATAGCTGTCAGTCTCTCTGTTTCCTTGAGTATCAGAAAGATACTGGATTTTTTTTAGGAAATTTGATAGTGGAGAAGAGCTGAGCTATTCATATTAATTCAACAGTTCTGTATTGATAAAAGAAAAATTACTGGACTTTTTTGTGGGGGGAACAATATTCAGTATAGTTTTGTTTTCTCGCCTAGTAGGTACTATTTAAGTGTCAACACATATGCAGTTTGCTGTATGAAATAGACCTTAACTAAATTAGCCAAATTAAATTGCCTTTTTATTGACTGAATCTTTTACTTTAAAATATAGCTCTAAACCACTTGAGTTTTACTAAGCCATTATTTTTTTAACGGCCTTTTTAAACCATGCCACATTTTACAGCTTCTTCATGGAGATTTCAGTTAATCACTGTTACTGAATGCCCTTGACTGAACTCTGCAGGGGAGGGGGAATTTGAGTTTCATCCCAGATTAAAATGGCACAATTTCAGCAGAAGTGTTCTTGTATTGTTTTGTGATCATTTTTACATTTTAGGTGGTGTTTAGCGTAGACTCCCTAATCTAGATTTAAAGTGGAATTTTGCCTGATAATTTATGCTGTATTCTAGTACTTTATCTTGCGTATATAGCATAAATGCCTTATTTAGTTATGCTATTATGGTTTGAATTGGCAACTTGGTTCATGCTTGGATTTTTTTTAGTTTGTAAATGTTTCTGCAGCAAAATTAAAAAACTACTTTTTAAAAGAAACAAGAAATTAATGTTCTAGTGATATGCAGTTTATTTATTAGTTTTTAAAGGTGCCTTAGAGCAAGGTGTTTTTTGATTCAAAAGAGAACAATTACTAGTTCCAACAAAAAACTGAACAAAAGCTTCCTTTTATGTTGTGGACATTTATAGTTTACAAATGCTGTGATTTGAGAATTGAGCAGTTTCTAGTGATTGTTAAGCTATTTGTTCAAACATTTCTCCAAGGTGACTTGTGGGGATTGCGAACAATTGTACAGCCTGTACAATATATTATACTTGTACATGATTATTGTGACTTAGGAATACTTGTTATAATGGCTCTGGTTAAACAGCACTTTCCTCTGGAGAACTAGATGGATGTTCCACTCTGTTTGCAAAGGAAATGTTTAGCCTCATGTAATAGCTCTTAATTTTGTTGAAGTTTTTCCTTATGGAAAGCTAATTAATGGAGTGCTTAAAGGGATGTAAATCAGCACAGTATTGAACCCAGTCCCCACACAGTTATTTCTGTGACTTTTAATGTTTTACAGTGGTTTGCCATTTAGATCCATACATTGTATAAAGTTAAATGTACTTTTCAAGTTTTCAAAGTTAAAATGTCTAGCGAAGTATAACATCTTTATTAGGAACATTATTGCAGTATTTCATATCACGATTTTTAAAGGATTTTTGCCATGCAGCTTTAGTAGAGAATATCACCACAAAATATCAAAGGTTTTCAAAATATTCAGTAAGTATGTTTGTCATTTGTCATTTTAAACATCCAGTGTTTGTGTAATGTCAATGTACTATGTCAACTTAAGTACATTTCTAAATTTTAAGTCCTATATTGATCATTGTTATGCTTGTGATACCACTGGTGGTTCTTGGAATAACCGCTCCAGCTCTGAAGCATTAAAACGTTGTTTATTTACCTGTTCAAATATGATTTGTTTCATAATCAATACTTTTGAATTAGGTCCCTTGCAAATTCAAGAATTTCAATTAATTTTAGGCAGTTTTACAGATTTGTTGGTTGTGATTAAATGAATGCTTTGTGACTATTAAATGAAAGTAATACCCAATAGTCATGAATAATAGTTAGATTTTTTTGTTCTATAAAATGTTTTTAAAGCTGATCTTGCAAAGGTCAGTATTAAGTTGTGAAAGTTTTCAAGTTTTAATTATTTGAAGGTTAAAAGGAACCACTTATTTCACTGCTGATTCGATTGACTCCATTAATACAATGGGAGCATCTTGAATATAACTGTTCTCCTTTTTACCTAATGTTGTGCATTGATCTAAAGAAAACCATTTCAAAACAGGACAAATGCCAACAGTTCAAAACAAGCTATAACTCCCATCAAAGGAGGACACTTTAGTCTATTTGTATTTAAACTTTTGACTACAAAAATTCATTAATTGAATCATTATGGAAGAAGATTATTATAAATCGAGAGAGATCTCTACAGAGTATTCTAAAACAAGTTTATTTGATAGAAGGATTGATTGCAAAAATCCAATAAATCGATGTACCTTTTAGACAACACGAGATGTCACATTTTGTTTGGAAGTTTATATTAAGATCTGTTTTCATCTTTCCTGTGCTAATGTCAAACGTTTAATTTTGAATATCTAAATACTGTGAAGACACTTCACTACCCCCAAATAACTATCTGCTAGCTTCCTTTAAAAAAACTTTTAAAAGTTTAAGTGTCATTACCAAGTATTAAATTTAATGGATGTATCCTGATGTTACAAAGGAAATTAACCTAGATTACAACTCTTGACGTTTGACTTCCACTTTAATTTTAATAACACATTGATTGCATATTTATAGTGATTTTCATTACAAATTCCAGTTCGCAAACCAGAATGTTTTGATCCCAAAGGGATCACAAAGCGCTTCACATAGGTGGAGGCCTGCATATTTGATCACTGAAAAGCAGCAACATATCAGTGATGCACAGCTGTCATTAGATAACAGCAGCTCAACAACAGATCAGATAAAGGTGTGGCAAATGCTTTCACCAGTTCATCTAATGGGAAACATTTATGGAGGCCAGACTGTGCAAGCCCAAAGTGAAATTTCACCAGGGCACCAGTCTCATCTGAAGGGCAACATCGGCAGCACTGTCACTTTGAGACAGTGGTTTAGAAAACTTTGTTCAGTGGGAAGAATGTAATCTATAGCACCATTTAAAACAGGAAACCTGTTTTTCATCCCAGTTTGCGAACTACCATGCTTAGTCTCTGAGATCTGATGCAATCAGCTTACAAGGTAGTAATGTAATTTATTTCTTTCATCTCTTTTAAAGTGATTTGTTTCTGCAATGACAGAACTGAAAGTACTTGAATGATACTCTGTTCTTACAAGTGTCTTAATTTTTCAGCATAACTTAGCAGAAAAATGTTCACCATTTTTCTAGAATCTGTGCCCCTTTGCAGTTTAAAATAAAGGAATTTGTGAATCCTTCGTAATGGCGGGATGCACAAAGTAGCTGATTCATAATAGTGTTGGTATAAATTTCCTCAAAAGTAGCACAAGTAATTCTAGTGAATATAATTAGTGCCCTTTTTGTAAAGGAATGCATAAAATCTGTCTTGAAGATATATCATAGAGTATATTTCACAACCATAGTGGTACTAGAATGCTGAGAGCATAAGAGAAAATATAACCTTAAAGTGTATTTTTCTCTTTGTGTATATGGTCAACTTGCAACTTACTTGGTCTCAATTTCCATGGTTGGCATTGGAAAATAAAAAAATGCTTTATTCTTTGAGAACTTTGTCAAGCATGCCTACAACAACTAGAGTTAGTGGGCTTATACAGTCATCTTATTTACTCTTATGATACTGTTTTTATATTTATATTTTATATCTTGAGTTACTGTAAAATGTTAGTGGTAGGTTTTCATAAAGGTTTAGGCTAACTTTGTTTTTTACCCTACTCAAAATCCCTGACCCTTACATAAATTACGAGTCGACTAGAGATGTAATATGTAACAGACAAGGCTCTTATTTTATTTTGATGTCGTAATCAGGCTGTTTGTTTTTTAATCAGTCACTCTGTGCTCTGAAATCTATGCTGTTGCTGCATAGTTACACCGTGTAGGTATTATTGTTAGACTTACAAACTGTTCTTGATAGATTTCTTTGTGAAAATTATAATTCAACAGTGATACTGAAGGGATTCAAAATATAATCTGCTTAATGTTCTCTTTAATTTTTGATGTCTCAGTGCATTGAAGTATTTATATTAAATTAATTCTAAATGTACATTCTTGCTACAGCCTTTCTATATTGTTTGCATGCTGCTGTTAACTTCTGCACCAATAGTTTCATTTTACATTAAACTTGAAGACCACACAAGTTGTTTGTGTTTGTTGCTTAAAAATAAATACCTGTAGTGTGTAAGTGAGTGCAGGGTTTATTAGCAGAATGCTTTGTAAAGGGAAAATATTTACAAAGATTTTCACACAATGATGAATGGAATCTCTTCCATAGATTTAGATGAAAATTAGAATCATTACATACCCTGCCAGAGTTTCCTCTATGGGAAAAAAAAGAGTGTAGCAATATGTTGAGTGAAGCAATACAGTAGTTTGGCATTTCTCCTGCTGGTTTGCAGGCCTTTTTTATAACCTTTTAAGCTGTAAAGCTGTAGTATTCATCCCCAATAAAGTGAACATGCCAT